GAGTTATCTTAAAAAAGAATGATATAAATAGATTTTTTTCCCCATTACTACACCTTTTTTTTTAACATTTTTTATTGATTTATAATCATTTTACAATGTTGTGTCAATACTACACCTTTTTTATACGCATTCCCTACGACATAGTATGTTATTTAACTATAGAGTCTAATTGTGTGAATTTTCCTATCATAGAATCAGGGTTGGCTTGTGTCCTGAAGTGTGGTAGCTGGACCCGCAGGTAGAAGGGGACATCTGCAGAGGGGAGAGCAGGAAGTACAAAGGAAAGAAGCAGTAGCTTCTGCATCGAGCTAAAAATGGTCCATCCATTTATCTATTTGAAGAGTACAGAGTACAAAACTATTTACTTAGGAGGCAGAGATAGGAAACAGTTGCTTGGACAATAGGAATTGAGAAAAAGGATAATTTTTAGGAATATTTTAGTCTTACTGGCCCCATCCACACAGTGTAGTTTGTTTAATAAAATAATACTGGGTAAAGTAATCAAGAACAAAACTATAGCCAGATTTTAGAGGGAATCAAGTCAGAAAAATGAGTTTGGCATCTTTCTAGTTAATGCCTGTCTTTTGGAAGTAATTTAAATGTAAACTGATTTGCGTGAATAGGTGGCGAATAACTTTAAAACCAGTGTTACTGAGCCACCTCGTATAATGGAAGAAGAGTGTGTTTGGTGAACACACAGTTCTGTGTGGCTAGAATCGAGGATGAAACTAAGCATTGTCATACCTTGCTCTTCATCCTCCTTTGAATTTTGTGAGTGCTTGTTGATTCTGACCATTCCCCAGCCCTTCTTACTGTATTCCCAATTTGCCTTTTTTGCCCCTTTCTCCTTTTTTAAATGCTACATAACCACTTTCCTTCCCTGTATAGTAGTTTGTTTATATATGTTTTATTTCCCTCGCTTTTAGTAAGTCTTTTGAGGATAGGAAGCATGTCATATTTGTGTCTCTCTATGTGCTCCAGGCAGGGTTGCTGGATAAAGTACAGGATGCCCAGTTAACTTTAAAAGCGGTGAATAATTTTCAAGTATGAATAGTTTCCATTTGTTCAATTTGTCAACCCTAGCACTGTGCACTGTGTGTAGTGAATTGGTGCTGAGTGATTGTTCAGAGAATGGATTTAAATTGAATTCTGATAGCCTTCTGAAGCTGGTAGAGTGTTAATATTTTCATTCTTAGTTTTACAAGTAAAAAGAAGCTGAGGCTTATGGACTTTTAAGTGGTTTCCCCAAGTTCACAAGTTACTAAATTGTTCAGCCTGGCCCAAAAGGAATACATTTACTTCCATAAAGCAGAACTTTACTTAAATATTCTTTGTGTGGGTTTTTCTAAGTTCTGGATTAAAGAATTTAGATTCGAAGGATGTATTCCTGGAGAATGATTATTTTTCTTGTCCTAACCCAAAGTAATACATATTACTTTGTTAAACTACCAGTTTTTAAGCTGTGTTTTACAGGAAACAAATGGAAAGAATTGTACTTAATTATATCTTAAGGGAAATGTGAAAGTTTTGAATCCTTTTTTGGTACAGCAGAGGGAGACAGTGTTAGAATACTGAAAATAAAATCTTTCTCTGAGTCACTGAGGCTTATTTAGTAATGCCGCTAAAAGGGAGAAATAGTAATTTGCTTTTCATATGTATGCAGGTGTCTTGAATCATTTATGTGGATTGAAAAAAGAGTGCCTTTTGCTAGAAAATCTACTTGAAATGTGAGAGTCTATAAAATCTGTGGTTTAAAAGGGCTGTTTCTTTGCTTTTTGAGAATCCTGTTTTCTTCCCCACCTTCAAGGTTGAACGAATGTTGCATATTTACATATAACCATTGGTTAAATGTTACTAATTCAAGTGAAATATAGTTTCCAATGAAAATAGAGATAAGACCCTTAAATTATAGAAACAGCATTTCTTAACTAAATATTTCACAATGTAATACCTGTTTTTCCTGGTCAGAATTCATGTTGTTGTTGTTGTTGTTGTTGTTTTAATTGGGTTATAGTCGGTTTACAATGTTGTGTCAATTTCCAGCGTAGAGCGCAATTTTTTCAGTTATACTGGTCAGAATTCATGTTTTTCCAGTAACTGTGATACTTCTATCTTCTACTGAATACTAACTTTCGTATCTGCGTATTAATCCATTTTCTTTATTAAGAAACTGTAATGTTTCTTTTGTTACATGTTGTTAATTTCATGACTATTTTCTCATCACAGTCACAGAATTATAACTTCAGTAACAATTATGTTGTTGAATATTCATTTTAAAGATTAATATTCACTCCCTCTAAGAAAAAAATTAGAATTCTCAAAATCCTTTGGAGTAAATTTACCCTTATGGAAATACTATGTTCCTGTTTTAAGTCGAAGTAATTTTTCTGTATTACATCAATATAAAATGTGAAGACTTTTAACTGGAATTGTGGGAAATAAAAATATGTGTCTTAGAGACAAATAGCTCCCTTCTCCCTTCTTAACCCACTAAAATTCAAGAATTTCAGAGAGAATTTTCTTAATATTCATAGAAGAATCCTAGTTATAACATAATGGGGTTGGAGGTGTCTGGGCAGGATGCTTCGACTTTTGTAAACACACAGATGTTGGGGAGGGGTTTGGATTATTGGTTTGTTATTTTTTTTGATATGGGGTGGTGGTAATAGTTTTTTGTTTTTTTTTAAATAACTGACTAGTTGCTGATATTCACAGATTGTAAGTCTTGGAGTGTATTCTTGCCTCCTTTTCTGTTACGTATATTCATATTTTTCGAAAGAAAAGGATTTTACTGTCCATGCTATCTGTACCTGTCTTGTTAGACTTAGCCATGCATTATGGATATTTTTTCATGCCCTTAAATGTTTTATAGCAAATATCTCATCACATACATTTACTGTAGCTTGTTTAGCCAGTGCCGTATTGTTTGACCTTTGGAAAGTTGTAGTAACTGTTTTGATTGCTGTGTGTTATCCCATGTAATCCTCACGTTTATAGCATGGTGTAGGTATTGTTATTACCTTTTTACAGATATGGAAACTGAACCCATAGATGTGAAATAATTTGCTCAGATTTTTTAGCTAATTGTAATAATGATGAAGATACTGTATTTTTTTCATGCATGGTTTCATTTAATCCTCATAACCCTAAGAGAGGTAGCCCTTCCCTCTTAATCCCATTTCACAGGAGAAACTGAAGCTCAGTGAGATTAGTCATACATCCAACAAGTGACACCCGTTTGTGACTCTTTTCTTTCTGAAATTACACAACTGATTGTTTTTGACTTGTTCTCAGCCTCTACTTATTTCTGAGGTTATAAAATGAGTAAAACTTCTAGCAGTAAAAGACCCTTCCAGCAAGTTATTCTTTCTTGGTTCTGTCATCTCTAAAATATGGATGCTTTTCTTCTCTTAAAGGGTTTTTCTGTTAAGTGAGAGGATATATATGAAGCACTTAGTACATAGGGTATGTAATAAGTACTCAATACATTTCATTTCTATTTCTTTTTACA